TTAAAGCACTAATATAGTTAATCCGGCTACTAGTGCTATTAGATATATATAATGCGTACCTCGTTTAATAGCGAGGGTGCTATTAAATAACCTTATAAATAGGGATAGTTAATCGTTTATAGACGAGCTGTTACGTACTTAGTAGAGGGACGCCTTTGCTACTAAACGTATCGATAGGCTTATAAGTAGGCGAAAGACTCGAACTAGTAAGAGTAACAATTAGTCGATCGATAACAAAGGTTATTTGAAGTTTAAGGGCAGATACTATGTCCCCGCTAAACATTCGATCCGATAAGAACTTCTTAAGCGACACTATAATAGTAAGCTTGCCGGTTACTATAGTATAGAGAGGTCGTACGAGCTACTATCGCGTATATACTACTAGCTAAATAGTAAGCGGGATATAAAGGAATACGTTAATACGTATACCGTATACTAACGTATTAAGGCACTAAAGCATTAGCCTTTTAGCGAGTTGTCCTCTTTACTAATCCCTTACAAGCTATTTATAGAGCTTATAATAGACTTTATTATAGGCCTTCCGCCTACTAAGCGTAGGGGTAGTAAGGACGTATATAATGCTATCCTTATTATAGTAGATCGATTTACTAAAGGCGCTCGATATATCCCGGCGCGCAAGGATTAGACTGCTATTAATATAGTAGAGGCGCTATAGACTAATATCTTCTATACCTATTAGGGAACCCCTAAGGGGATAGTCTCCGATAGGGGCTCGACATTTATATCGCACTATTAGAGCGAATTATGCCTACAGCTAAGACTAAAGCATCGGCTATTAACAGCCTTCTATCTATAGACTAGTAACGGTTAAATAGAGAGGCAAAATGCTACGCTATAGTAGTACCTACGTAGCTATATTAACGAGGACCCTAACAGATAGGTTAACCTCCTATAACTAGCCGAATTCGTATACAATAATAGTATACATTCATTAACTAAGGCCTTACTATATATAGCTATAATAGGCTAGAATACTACTATACTATAAGACCTACTATCGCTCGAGGCCGAGCGTAAGGAAAGGGAAGCGCGTTAAGTACTAGAGACACTAGCGGCAATAGAACGTGTTTAGAAGATGCGAGAAATCTATACTAAGATGGCTAAGAAGCTAACAAAGGCTTAAGAGTACTAAAAGGCCTACTACGATAAGCGCTATACACTAGTAACCTTTAAGTAAGGCGATATAGTTATACTTAGTACAAAGAACCTCCGCATCCGCAAATACCTATTACCTAATAGTAAAACAAGGCCTAAGCTCGCACTAAGATACATTAGCCTATTCCGTATCCGAGAACCGAAGGGTAATAGCTAGGCCTACTAGTTATAGCTTCTACCTTATTACACTATCTATAACACCTTCTACGTATCCCTCTTTAAGCTATATTACTAACGCGAAGGCGATAAAGCGCCTACTAAGTTAGAAGAGGTCTTAGCTAATAGTGAAGAGCTATAGTCTATAGAGCGTATACTAAAGCATCGGACTAGACAAGGCAAGAAGGAGTACCTACTAAGATAGTAAGGCTATTCGCCTAAATAGGACTTATAGGAAGCTAAAGGTTCCTTCGAGGATATAACTAAGTTGTTAGATAAGTATTAGACTAGCGTAAAGAACAAGAAGAAGGCTAAAAGCTTATAATGTTACTATTAAGGCCTAGGATTAATACTATCCCCGGGGTGCTATTAGCCGACTAATTAGAGGCAAGCAATTGTTAGTATAAGGGACAATAAAACTATACTACTATAGTAAACGTATACCGAGTGTTAACAAGCGCGCTATAACGCGTTAACTATTTACTGCTCTTTTAAGGGCTCTACCTCTTTACTAATGCGCCCTATAAGGCCCTTTCCCTAGTATCTAGGTCCCCCTCTTATCCCTTTATTCTAGTAAGGCCTCGAGGCCTAAGCGGTCGGCAAGGACAGCGCGACCGGCGCGGCTATGTTAGTAACGGTGTTATAGAGCGTATTACTATTCGAAGGAGGAAGACGACGCGACTATATCGGTAACGGTGTTGCTAATATTGTTATTAGCTAAAGAAGGAAATTAGAAGAAGGTAAAGTTAGCGCTAAGACGACTAGCGCCGCTATTATTAATATTACCTGCTATTGTCGCTATACTTGCGAAGGCAACCTTACCTATACTACGGCCTAAGGCCGGAAGCGCGCTATACTAATTAAGTTAAAAGAATAGCTATATTAAAGGTTTAATTAAAACTTTAATTAAAACTTTAAGCCGCTTAAAAGATTAAGCGACTAATAGACTAGCTAACTAAGGGCAAAACTATAGAGCTAAGTTAGCCGGGGTCGATCTTACGGACAATAAGTTACTCCTCGATCTTTCTAATCCTTTAAGCGAGGCGAACCTTAACTACTATACTTATAATAGCCTTTACTTATAGAAACCGGAAGAACCGTATTTTTTAAAAAGATAAGATAAGATTGACACTTGAAGGCTACTAAACCTAGCTAATTAGGGCTAGCGAAACTACGATAGTAAATAATAGCCCTCGTAATAATAAGAACAATCCCTCGTAATAATAAGAACAACCCTCGGAAGCGGACATTTCTAGGTCTTTTAGAGTAGACGTAAAGAACTCGGTACGACATTACTTAGAACGGAGGCAGTGCTATAATACCTCGTATGCCTATCTATTATAGTAGGGAAGACGCGCTTGTATTATAATTAGTCGATAGTCCTCAATTCTACTAGTTATATATTACTTTATTATATATAAGGATAGCGCAGTTAGAGTTAAACATTGTGTTATATTAGAGGTAAGGTTTGGTATAGTGATATAATTAGGTAGTTAAGCGTTTAATTTAGCGTAGCTAAATAGCTTGTTAGAACTGCTAAGTTAGTAGTAATAGAGATTAGATTAGAATATAAACAGGCTACGAGGGCGCGGCCTTTAGAAGGGAAGCGTATATTAGAGCTAAAGAGGCTATACGTAATTAGTATATAATTAGGCCGAGTGAAGCTAGGGTCTTAGTGCCTTAGGTAGGGCTTAGCGCTCGGCGTTAGGCTAACTAGCCTGCCTTCCTCCCTCTTCTCTTAGATCTCTATCGAATACTATACTAATTTACTACTACCCTATCTACCTACTAATATAACCCTTCTTATACTCGAAAACGCTTTCTAAGATCTTATAAGTCTAACGGGGTCTACGAAGCTCCGAGCTTCTAGATAGTATAGATTAACACGATAACTATCTTAGACTTCTATATATAGAAAGTAACGATAGACCCTAGCCGAACTCCTCGCGATTTAAGATAGATAGAGAGCCTATTAGATTAAAGGACGAGGTCTAAGTAAGTAAGATCGCTATCCTAAGTATAAATAGCGTAAGAATAGTAAGATCGAGGATATTACGTAGCCTAAGATACGAGACGCTCGTAAGCGCTCGGCAAGTCTACTATCGATATTTGTAACGGACTAGCTAGCGAGTAGACTTTTCTCCTCCGAGCCGATAAGATCTAAGCTCTCTAGTGCTTTTTCTAGCTTACTACTACGTACTATATTAATTATAAGAGCTAACTAAAGTTTAAATACGGCTGCTTCGTTACGATAGATTAAAGTTATAGTATAATAAATCTATAAGGTTAACTAATCGCCTATTTCGATAATAAGGGGGAAATCTTATATTTAGATCGTTTAAGCTTCCGGATTAAGCGAAGGTCGCTCGTATTTTCCCTCGCTCGTTATCTTCGGGTTAGAAGACTAATAGGGTAAGCATCTCTAGGGACAAATTTAGCGTAGTTCGAACGAAGTCTATAATTTTTACTAGGCCTATATATAGGTATTCTAATATATCTACCGCCGCTTCCTAGATCCGAGCTATTATACGGTATAATATATACGTCTCTACCGTTAATCTCTATATATACTAGTAAAGTAGTTAGTATAGGGCTAAGGATAGTATCTAAGCCGAGTTTATCGGTAGGTTCCCTTCCTACTAGTACGGCTACGAATAATATACGGTCCGACTCGGTATACTGCTAGAGCAGAATTACGAAGGCTAGCTTAACTTAAGTAAAGGTAGAATGCTCCGTAGAGGCCGAGCGAACTATAAAAAGGCTGTAATTGCAGTAGCTAAACTCGCAATGCTTATTCCTAGAGGTTACCGCAGTCGAGGAAGGCTAGCTTAGCGCGCTAGATAAGAAGACTAGAAAGCTTTCTAAGCGTGTCTACCTTAAGACTTTGCTTAAGTACTCGACAAAATTACGGAATTAAACGCCTCGACGAAGACTGCCCCCTAAATAGGCCTCTACTATATCGCTCTCAATTAAACCTTTTAGTACTCTATCGTACACCGCATAATAAGAGACCTAGATTAGAGTGGAGTCTGTGATAACGAACCTGTTCAGTGCTTTGCTATACACCCCATCCTACTCTTCCTCCTCGTCCGAATCTGAGAGGAAGGATACTCTGCAATAGTGTGAACGCAGCACGACTTGATAGGTCCCGGGCGCGCCCGCATCGACGATTCGTGTACCGCACCTGAATGACTTGGATAAGTGCTCGAAACAGTCTAGGTACATCGACGGTTGGGAGTAGAAAGCTTCTGCATTAAATATAGACCGTCTGCTCCTCCATCACAGTCGCAGCAAGCATGCCCTTATGCATAGGAGTGTATGGATACGCATCTTCGATGTCTTGCATATGCACATCGCACGCTGATGCTGCAGCCTGTCTGCCATTTTACCAGCGTATGTGGTACCGACGGTGTTCTTACCTATAAGGAGTTTTCCGCGCACAATCTCTAGCAAGACAGATCGTAAAGCTTTGAGGCACTTTGGATCATTATCAGGGAGACTCGGAGTCACGATTTGAGCCTCTCCTTGTAGGCGAGCGTTGTGAAGCTTTAGCGTTTTGGAAGAAGACATGTGATGGGTAATAAGTTCGCCGAAATAGGGGCTGGAGTAAGTTAAGGTTGCGCTCCTCAGGTCGCGAAATGTCCAAGGTGGGTTTTCTACCTGCCGAATTATAAGATCTCCTCCGGACGAACAACCACCCAATTCTTGTCGGCCGTAACTTCGCGCTGGTTCGCAATTTGACCTTCTTTCGCCTCTTCGATCATTCCCTCCATCTCTTCCCATTTGCTCATCGATCTGTTTACGAAAAGATGGATGCCTCCTTTGCTGGTATCAACACCATGCAAGAGCATGTACCCATCACTGCCGGGAGTATCACCACCAGCCAGGACCGGTCTTTTCCATTGATCAATGTAGGTCAGGATAGCAGCCCATTTGCCTGCGAACCAAGTAGCCGGAGTCCACAGGTATGTTCCGTATATCAAATCCAAGTTGCCGTCCTGGTCGTAGTCGCCATCAGCAATCTGCTTGCGAGATGCCGTGATGTCTCCACTGGTGCAGTTTCGCAGAACCGTCGCAACCCCGATGACGTTCTCGGGCTTGACGTTGTATCCATATTTGGGGTCTGACGCAACCATTCGAACGAGTTCCTCGCTTGCAGCGGTCACGACATAGACATCGATACCATTGGCCATGAGCGTGTTGTAGAGTTGGGCTTGTGCTCGGAAGATTTTGGGCGGGCTGACGGTGTCGTCCACAGGCTGACCATCCTCAAAGTACTTCACTGGAATGGTACTGTTGTATGCCATGAGCTCATCAACGTAGACTTTGAGCTCACGCAGGGTGAATCCCGCGAACGCTTGCGCAATCCATGGGTAACAGATCATATCATCAACCTCGCAAAGACGATAGTAGTAGCTGAACAGCGATTCCTGCGTGCCATTGGTATCCTTGAAGGGAATAACCTTGAGCGAAGGGTCCAAGTTTTCTCTTGTCAAGATTCCTCGGTTCTCAAGGAAAGGAAGCAGCGATTCAGTGAGATCGTTCTTGTAGCTGGTGTTGTCCTGCCGCGCGCACCTTGTCAGCGGAGAGCGGAAACGTCTCGAACGCGAGTGAGCACGTACCATATCAAAAACAGCATAGTTGTTCTGGTTGGCATTGCCTGCGATCATTCGCTTGAGCTGTACGGCTGCCTCGTGCGGCCACCGACTAAGTTCTGCTGGTGGCGATGCAATTGTTGCAGCCGTAGCGAGGCTTATGGCTAAGCCATGGCCATGGACTGCAAGGTATCTAAAAGAGAATCTCATGATTGTTGACGTCGCTGGAGTGGTAGATGAAGGCAGAGCAGTAACAAGACGTGGGAAAGAATTCGATGTCCTACCTCTTCTCTTGTACTCGAGACACCCTCGCCTAAGTTGTAGGATTCAGCCCAGTGATATCCGGATTGCGTACGATCTCCCAGTGCGCCTATGAGCAGGCACGGCGAAATCTCTGCAGAGTAGGCTACGACGGCGGTCTCATCGGATATGTCGCTGCAAAATGCTTAGCAGCCGTCCGTGCTCTTGGCGACCAAGTCGTTCGGGCTTAGCAGATCAACGAGGCGGTAATCGACGGCATCAACAGTGTCGTTGTCATCGTTTCTGTCCTTTCCAGCGAGTTCACATCTGTTTTGTGCCATCACCATTCATGCTTAGCAGAACCCGCAGCTATTTGTAGTCTTCAATTGGGGGGCGCTGCTGTTATCCCTTCTTTATTCTGACACCAAAAAACCCTGAGCTTTTGAGCCGCGGGGCCATCGATGCTTCCGCTATATAGTCTACTACACTAATTCTACTACATCTCCCTAAACATCGTGTCAATACGTTCCATTAATTTCCTAATAAATACTATAGGCTCGCAGCTTTATTTTAACGTAGATATCGACCTAATTAGTAGTATTGTTATTACGTAAGAATATAGCGTAGATAATAGGGCGTATAGCGAGTTACCGAGTCGACTGTTACGGTTACTCGCGACAGATCGTCAAGTAACTTCTTATTACGTACAAGCTAAGGCTTCTTTAGAGAGGCTAATATAAGCGGGAGGTAGAGATAGAATAATTAGTATAAAGGTAATTCCAATTAGTAAGTAGGTAATATAAGTTAAACGCCTCGAGCTATAAGGGCATTCCGGCGTTCCTAAATACAAAGGAGACATCTTGTCTATAGTCGTAAGCGACGTAAGCGACGCTATCGCTCTCGACCGCTCCTATCGCTCCTAGTAAGATAGAGCGATAGCTTAGCCTACTAGTCTTAGCGTCGCTCTAAGATTATATAAGGACTCTAACTAATTAGATCCGTAACACTATCCCCCTCCTTAAGCGGGATAGTCCCTTATTCCGGAACTTTCTAATTCTAACTTCTTTGCTATACTAAAGTTATTAAAGGACTTGTCTTCTCGTTAGCGTAAGGAAAATATCGCAAATAATATCCTTACCGACTGCCTCGAAATACCGATCCGCTACTTTTATTACGAATAGGCCGATAAATCCTATAAAGTCGATCTCCGTTCCGGTCGCTACTCCGAGTACGCCCTATACGGCTAGTCCTATAATATATAAGTTACTTATATAGAGTATAAAAAAATCCGGAAGGCGCGCCTAAAGATAGCTAAAGATCTCGAAGCGGCCGAAGAGGAGGAGGACCTCCTTACGCAGAAGCTTTTCGAGTATTACGTAAAGGTCCGTCGCTTACGCAAGTCGCTACGTATAAAGGAAGATCGGGAGGTACAAGCTCTTAAGGCAGAGGAAGCCTCTATTTAATAGGCGGAGGAGCTCGAAAGAGAGCTAGGCTCTTCGCCTATAGAGCCGATAATATTCTCGTTGCCTACTAACGAGCCGTTTCCCCTAGATAGCCGATTATAGATGTCGCCTTATAACTAGAGTCGTCTAGATAGGACGTCCTAGCCTACCTCTAAAATTCCTAGTAGGAGTGCCGAGAGTCTAGTATCCTAAAGGTATGTATTTTTAATATTTCCTATCTATTTTATCTTCTAGCTAGTTAGTCTAGTAGTATGATTCTTAGCTACAAAAGACATAGTTACTAGGTACGCTATTAGAGTCCCCGCTCCTCGAGCTATACTGCCCTAGGTCGTTAAGAACTCTAAGGCGCTATAATCGATAGGGTCTAAGAGGTCGTAGGTTTAATTCCTATACTAGTTATTTCTTTTTTATTCGGTTTTGAAATTTTTTGATTATCTGCTAACAGTTCTATAGGTTTTCTTTTAGTTCCTAGGTGTTTTCTAAATGTAGGTATCCTTTCTATTTGATAAGGTATTTCTAACCTTGCTAATCTAGGATCTTTTCGACTTTAAACTCATTTTCTTCTTTAGGTTAGAAGTAAAATGTTTCTTAACACGGTGTTTCGGCGTCTGTAGGTTCTAGTATAGAGATATAGAATACTAGGTAGATTTTTGCGTCGTCCGGTAGTTTAAGTCGGTAATTAACTAGTCCTTTAGGCTTATCAATTAAAAATAGCCCGACTTTAACGTAGTCTAGTTTCTTAGTCGATCTCCGGGTTTTTAGATTCTTTATTAGGAGGTAGACCTTATCCCCCTTCTTTAGCTAAGGTGCTATTTTTCGTTTAGCATTATATGATCCCGTAATCTTTTCTTAACACTCGGCAATTGCCCTTTGCAATTCCTTATGCACCTGCTTTAAGTCTTCTAAAGCGACTATCGCTTTATCCGCGTATAGATACTATAAATACTGTTCCTCGAACAGCTACGGATATTTCCCAAAATTAGCGAAGAATGGTATCTCTTTCGTAGTCTTAGATTATTAGTTGTTTAGTATAAGTTGTGCTATAGGTAGTAGCGATGCCTAATTGTTTTGTACGTAGTTGACGTAGTGCCGTAAGTATACTTCTAAGGCCTAATTCTTAACTTCCGTTTGGCCGTCTGTCTATAGATAGTATACCGTTAATAGCTTGTGCTTAATTCTAAGCGTCGCTATAAGCGTCTTCTAGTAGTTTAACGTAAAGAGCTTGTCTCTGTCCGTAATATAGGTCTTTAGAAATCCGTAGTATCGTATAAGTCTATCTAGTACGAGGTATCCGAGTTGCTCTACCGTACTTGCTTTATTAGTAGGAATGAAGTATATATATTTCGTAAGCCTATCGACTATAACAAGTATTATGTCGTAGCTATGTCCTATAACCGGATCCTTAGGTACTTAGTATTTCCTATATTCGATTAGAAACTGTTCTTCTATATCCTAAAGAACTCGTATAATGTAGTTGAATTCTTTTGTATTAGCACTAAGGCTTCCGTCTTAGTTTGCTTTTAATATCTACTACTGCACTAGTTCGTAACCCTCTATATAGTCGCTACGGCGGCTTAGTACGTCGGCTCGTCCGTTCTCGCGTCCTAGGGTATAGCGGATTTCGAACTTGTACTGTCCTAGTAGCTCCGACTAGCGGGCCTGTCTTCGGGTTAGTACTTTAGTCGTAGTAAAGTAAGTTAGATTCTTATAATTAGAAAGAATCGTAAGACTTGGTGCTCCTTCCGCGTATACTCGCTAGTATTGTAGTAATACAACTATTGCAAGTAGCTCCTTATTATAGATATCGTAGTTCTGTTCCGCGGGTAATATCTTTCTCGAGTAATAGGCTACCGGGTATCGTTTCCCGTTATGCTCCTATATAAGGCATGCTCCTATAGCCCTATCCGACGCGTCTGTTTCTATCTAGACCGCCTTATTCCTATCGAATAATCGTAGCGTTAGCGTAGAAACGCATTGCTTCTTTAGCTACCTAAACGCTTCGTCTTCCTTCGTGCTCTAGTTCCATTTCTTGTCTTTCTTTATAAGCTCCGTAAGGGGTGCCGCTGTCTTAGAATAGCCCTCGATGAATTTCCTATTATAGTTAGCTAATCCTAGGAATAATTGTACGTCTTTAACGCATATAGGCGTTAGCTATTCCTGTATTAACTTAGTTTTTTCTAAATCAATCCTAATTCCTATAGTACTAATAATAAATCCTAGGAACTTAACTTCCTTCTTATAGAATTCGCATTTCTTAGGTGCAGTCTTAAATCCTACTTAAGTAAATCGTTCAAAGACGTCCTATACTATTCGTATATAGTCCGCGAGAGCTCCTTTAGTATAGACTAGGATATCGTCTATATATGCGATAACGCATATATCTAGAAGGTCTCGGAGGACTTCGTTTATAAGGTCTTAATATAACGCTAGGGCATTTGTAAGTCCTATAGGCATAACTAAGAATTCGTAAAGCCTATATCTTATTCGGAATGCTATTATCTATTCGTATCTAGCTGCTATACGTATTGCGTAAAACGCATCGCGTAGGTCAATCTTCGTATACTAGTCTAATCTAGTTAATCGGTCTTGTATTTCTTCGATATTCGGTAGTAGGTACCGATTCTTAATTGTAATGTCGTTAAGTCGTCTAAAATCGACTACTAGCCGTCCTTCGTCTAATCCGGCTTTCGGAACGAACATTACTAGTAAGGCTGCCGAGGATATCGACTTCCGTATCTAGCCTTTTTCTAATTTCTCTTTTAGCTACTTGTCTAGGGTTTTGAGCTCTTTCTTAGACATTGCGTATAAGGGTCCCTATAGAGGCTCTTTCCTAGGCTGTAAGTGTATTTTATAATCCTATAGTTAGTGTTTAGGTAAGGCTGCCTTGCCTCTCTCCTCTTTAAAGAGTCGCTTCTACTTAGTATACTCTTTAGGAATGTCTAGGTCCGAGATTCTAGTTTTATTCTTCGATAGCGTATAACTTCTATCCTTCCCGTAATCATTATTATAACCCTCCTAACCTAACGGTAGTGTCGATCCGGGTTGAATACGGTTCTCCGTAATTCCTGTCGACGTAAACGTCTTACGAGTCGCCCTACGTTTATTAATCTTATCTGCCTACGAACGCTACCGCTATATAGGTTGAATACCGATTATATAGTCGCATTCCTTAAATGTAAGTACTCCTTTTCTCTAGTCTACGACTAGATTATACTTTCTTAACTAAGGTATACCTAATACAATATTATAACTAGCTATATTAGTAATATCTAAGACAATCTCCTCGTAGTGCTGTTAGATAGCTAGTAGTAACGGTATCGTTTCTCGTTCTATACTAGGTAGCGGTAACCTATCTACTGCTATAAGTTTATACGCTCCTTCTCTTCTGCTTCGGGTTGCGATCCCTCGGCTTTTAACGAATAATTCGGAGGCAAAGTTCCCGCTCGCTCCGGAATCTATTAATGCACTCGTCGGGTGCCCGTTAACGATAACTTTTATGCGGAAGACTGCTATTAATGCTTGAGCGCTTTCGGTATTAAGGAACTCTTTTAGAACGCTCTAATCTAGAGAGTTAGTCCGTTTCCCGACTAATTAGTAGCCTAACGTTGTTCTAACTAGTTACGGATCCGTAGTCCTACCGTTCGTGCTTCTTCGGTATATAATCTTTCCTCGAGGGTATCGTTGTATGCGTCCCGTCCCTACGCTACTATAGCCTTTCGGTATTACTAATTTAATCGCTAAATCGTCTAACGTATATCTTAAGTAATAATCGTCCTTTCGTCGGGTAGGACGTATCCGTAGGGCGTAATTATACTTCCTATCGGTACTCGCTCCGTAATAAAGTTATAGTACGTATAGTCTATAGGTATCCGGGGGTAATTCTAGAATTTTGCCCGTAAGCTTATCTAGAAATAATCAAATTAGATAGGATCGACCTTCCGTTGTCTATTAACCTTTAGAAACATTTCCTCGTATTTGCGTACTAGATATAAGGCGATTGTTTGCGCTACTATAGGTGCATCTATTATAAATATAAGGATCGTATCGTCGTTAATCCCGAATTCGTCTTTACTTTCTTTATTCGTAGTTTCTTCCTCGGTATCTAGACTTCCTTCTAAATCTTCTTGCTATTCCTCCTCTTACTAAGGGGACTCCGGTACTTCTAGGATAGCTCCTAACTCCTCCCCGGAAGGGAATAAAGCTTCCGGATCTCAGTTTTCTTTATCGTCGGTATCTAAGCAAGATTTATTAATCGTTTCTTCTTCTAACTAGGATTTCGTATCTTCTCGTACGAGTCGCCTAATTTAAGGGAAAAATCCTGCTTCTACTTTAGCAGAATAATGAATTTGGTATTAGTCGTCGTAATAGAATCTCTAGTAAAGGGTTCTATATATAGGTTCTTATCGTCGTGCTATTATACAGATTTGTCGTAGCTCTTTCTTTACGACCTCTACGTAGGTCCTCGGCGCGTTATTAATAGAGTATAGCTCTACTACTATTCGGTAGCCTTCTCTACCCGAGTCCTTTCGTTATATTATATTAAACTATTCGCGTCGTACTATATTCTTGCTGCGGTAGTTCCGTGCTATATAGCCTTCCTTGCTATACGTATAGCAAGTCAATTTTCCTACTTTCTTAGGCGAACTCTTGCCTTTTCTTCCTTTAATTGCCCAACCCTTCTAGGTAGCGTCTAGCTCTATTAGTTGCGTACCGTAGTAGTTGTTCCCCTTTAGTTTATCGTAGGTACTATAGTTTCGTCTATTATCGTATCTAGAAGTATAACTAGCTTTTCTAGAAGTCTTGGAATCGTAACGTCGTTCTAAAGCTCGTTCGTAGAGCCTATCGTCGAGATCGATCGTAACCTTAACTAATGTTCCTATATTATCTATTTTTCTGCCGTCGCGTATAAGCTCGTCTTTAACGTTATCCTTAAGACCTCGCCGATATATTGTTATAAGAGCTTCGTCGTCCTAATCCGTAAGTTAGGCGTATTCCTAAAATTTAGCGGCGTAATCGGTATATAACCCCTTCTAAGTTAAATGTTAGATAACCCTAACTGCGGTAGCAACTTCGTTAGAAGATCTAAAGACCTTCTTTATCGTACGCTTAAGATTTTCGTAGCTTGCGAAGATTCTATCCGAATTGTCGGTCCCGTTACTATCTAGATAGGTCCTAAGAAATGGTTTAACCTAATACTAAGCCCTGCCTCGTATAAACGTCGTTGCGAAGACTAGCTTTAAGTTATCTTAAACCTAGTTAAATATAAAATACATATCTATCTAGCTAACCTAGGTATCGAACTTGTCTCGGTCGCTATAATAAAAGTCTAGCTTTCCGATCTTAAGAGAATCGTTTCCGGTATAGGTTCCTAGTACATTGCTAGCACTAGAGGTAGTACGTCGAGTACTGCCTGTCTCGCTAGGGGCAGGAGTTCCCCTTCCGACTTATAATAAGGCACTTATCCTAAGGGCGTTCAAAGTGTTACGGTTACTCGCGACAGATCGTTAAGTGACTTCTTATTACGTGCAAGCCGAGGCTTCTTTAGAGAGGCTAATATAAGCGGAAGGCAGAGACAGAATAATTAGTATAAAGGTAATTCTAATTAGTAAGTAGGTAATATAAGTTGAACGCCTCGAGCTATAAGGGCATTCCGGCGTTCCTAAATACAAAGGAGACATCTTGTCTATAGTCGTAAGCGACGTAAGCGACGCTATCGCTCTCGACCGCTCCTATCGCTCCTAGTAAGATAGAGCGATAGCTTAGCCTACTAGTCTTAGCGTCGCTCTAAGATCATGTAAGGACTCTAACTAATTAGATCCGTAACATCGACCCGCTAAATACCTGTTTTCTACTTTCTTAGCATTCTACGGTCTATATAATATACTAACACATACTATAATCGTACGGCACTAAGCTAATACCTAATATAAGAAGAATCCTTATCGCTATTGTCTCTACCCGAAGGTATAGCCGTATAGGACTAGACTAAACTACCTAGCTTGTCGCAAATCTAGAGTGTTCCTTTACCTCTAATTCTCGAAGAAACGCTACTACCTAGCGACGCGTTAATATACGACAATACTAGTAATATTATAGCGGCGGAAGAAGGCTTTAGACACGCGTAAAGAGATCCGGTAGATATAGTACTATTACAAGACGCGAAAAGGTAGATAGGACGGATACGGAGGTCTCGAAGCTAGCTTAAAGGAGAATACGAAGGACAACCTATTTAGCAAGCCCTAACTATACCTCTAATAAGCTATTAACGTAATACGCGGCAGAGCGCTAAGGCGGCTATTAACGCTGCAAAACAGCTAGAAGAAGAGCTAGTAGGTGCTCCTTAGAGTAACTAATCTGCGGCTAAAAAGAGGAGCTCTCGGGCAGGTTCAAATGCTAGTGTTTAAAGCACTTAAAGCACTAAGAAGACTAAGAAGACTATCTAGTTTAAGGTTTAAGAGATATAGCAAAGTAATCTCGGCTTACTAATAAGTGACCTTATAGAAGCAGAAGAACGGCGGCAGGTTAAGAAGAAGGTTAGCTAAAGGGCTAGGAAGCCGACTAAGAAGAAGGCTTCTAAGCAGCTATCTGCTAAGACGCCTCCTTAGCAGCTATCTACTGCTACTGCTGCAACGCTAGCACTAGTTATAGCATCTTCTACTATAGAAGAACTATAGATAGTTGCCCTCGAGATAGAAGTATAGTTCAATCGCGAGAACCTAGGCTGTAACTTCGGCTTAATAAAGAACAGTATAAAGAATATCCGCTATCTAATAGACTAGGCTCTTTTGACGGCTATAGAATACGCCAACTCGAGAGGTTTCTAGCACTTCCTTATACGCCGCACTTATAAGATTTAATGCCTGCTTACGAAGAACGGTAGGCCGCAATCTAAGGCCTTCGAGATGTCTAAATAGGACGATTGGATAGGCCGTAGTAATGCTATTGTCTAGTTCTACCGTGCAATGAAGCCTGTATCTATATAGGTCTTTATAACTAAGTACTAGTCTTATAGAGCGGACACTCTATTTAAGAAGATTAGACCGAAGGGCAATAGTAATAGCAATAGCAATAGCAATAGCAAGCTACTACTATCCGACCCTCCGTCTTCTAATATTAACCTTCCTTCTAGTCTACTACTAGCTCTACGGAAGGAAGAAGGCTCTAGCAAGAAGAGAGACACAAATAGGCTTACATTGCACGAGACTAATAGCCGGATTGCTTAATATAAAGCCGTCCGCAAGGCACACGCTTGTACTAATCTATAGTACAGTCTTAGAGCTTAGGTTAGCGTTCTAGGTTGCTATATTCTTATAGGTCGACACTATAAGCTAACCGCTTAAATTATAACCTTCTAGAGAGACTAAATAGCGCTAGATAGCAAGTGTTCAATCGAGGCACTAAACAAGCAGGTTATCGAAGAGATAATAAGGTGCTATAAGATTAAGCATCCTTATAAGAACGAGCAAGGCAAGGGCAGCGGTAGAGGCAAGAGACAGCAAGAATAGGAGCCCTCGGTTTAGCAACAATATTACTATTATAGTACGCCTTAACCGGCTCTATAGATATATCTACAACCTCCGCCGCCTTATAGCTATTATAGCGCTCCGGTCGCTCTATAGCAATAGTAGTATTAGCAAAGCGCTCTACGCTCGAGTCCGCCTATTGCTAACGATAAGACTAAGACAGCTGTTCTTATTGTCTATTGCCGCTAGCTTCGTACGCGCTTTCTAGCAATAGCTATATCTATTCGAGACGCACAAACCTAGATAGTAAAGGAAGATTAGTGTCTATAGATTATTAAAAACTCGACTAAGTTCAAAGAGCTAAAGGCAAATAATGTATTAACCGATAGCGCTAGGTTTAGGATTAAGTCTAAGGTAAATAGGTTCTTAAAGGAATACAGAGCTAGTCGTATTCTAGCCAATATATCTAGTCTACCGGAAGGCGCGCTAGTAGTAGAGGAGGCAGAGGGCTAAGCTATAGCAAGCCGAGGAGAATAGGTTTGTAATCGCAATACAGCACTACTACTACGCAATATATGCTTACGAAAATTGTAGATAAGTTAGTCTATATATTATACTCGGATTCTGTCTATTCAGTTTTTCTATATACTATCTATATAGTACATACTATATGCATTTCAAAAGGCTGCTTCTCTATATGCTACCGCTAAGCCCCCGCCCCTAGACCCTAGACCCTTTCGGCTTTCTAGCGCTTTTTCGCATTTATCTTAATACTATATACTACAATTATATCGGATATATAATATACATTTCCTAATATATTCTAAATGCCTTTATAGATTTTATAAAAAAATTGCATGTCGACACGTACTCTATACGCTATGTTCTATATACTCGAAGTTAATAGACTCGGCTTTCTAGGTAGATAAGCTAAAAGCGGAGTCTTAGCACCTGTTACAGTATGTAACCTACTATCTTTAAAGCGACACTACTTAGCGACGCCTTGTCGGATAGATAGGATTTTTATATGCTGTTATAGCGCCGATAAAGCGCTTTTATTTGCGTGTCTAAGAGCTAGAATCGGACTATTGAATTGCAGTATACTAAGCCAAATTGCTATACTGTTACACTAGCGTGCTTAAATAACTTCTTATAGTCTATACCTTTACCCTAACTATCTACTGCTAGCCTTATATAACGCTTAAAATTAGCTCGCCAGTTATCCGTGCTATACTTAGGCATAGCACTCTAGTGCCTCTTAATCTAGTGCTTAAATAACCTAAAGGATAGCTCGATTGGATTTAAATGTAGTAAGTATAGTAGAAGGAAGTCCGTAATAATACTATACTAGCGACAGATATTGCGTACGAGTCGTCGGCTATACGTCGAGCAATTGTCTATTATAATAATAGACCTTAGGCCTAGATATAGATTACAAAGGGGTAAGAGCTTCTCCTATATCTATGCGATAAATGTCTAGCTATTAACACTGCCTTCCTTAATAAGTGTTGCTCTAGGTATCTAACTATCGACTAAGTATACCGGAAGCACGCTATATCGTTGTAGTCGGTATAGATAGTCCTTAGTTATATAAGGAAAGCCTTTAGGTACCTACCTACGCCTTCGAATAGTAGACCTCTCGCTATAATAGGTCTTGTCTATAAAGACAATCTAATCCGTGCGCTAACTAGCTATATTTATAAGGTATACTAGCTCTGCTTAAGAGTCTCGTTAAGACGCCTAGCGCTAAGCAATCTTATTAGTTATCTGCTATGTCTTTAGGCAATTTCTTATTGTCTATAGATATACGTATATACTAAACTCCGCTACTATCTAGTCTTACAACTCGTCGGACTAGGTAGTGCCCTTCGCTACTAGGACGTCTATAATAAAGTCTCTTATATGCGGCAGTATCTTCTTTAGGCGGCTAGGTTTGCCTTTAGGTCTAAAAACCGTACTATATCGCTTAAAACTCGTACTATACCTCTTAACCGCGGCAAACGACCCGTTTCTATACTGCTTACGCTACGACAACTATATATCCTTCGCTGTTGCACTATCCTTCAATAGCTGCTCGATAACCGCCTTGTCTTAGTTAGTAAAAGGAGCTATAGGTAGAAAGCGGCGGCGGCGACGGCGAGGTATAAGGCGGGCGATAATACGGACTCGGTAGAAGGCAGCGGCAATAGCAATAATATAGACAGACGATATAGTGGAACGACTGACTGACTATGGCGAACAAGAATGCTTCATTTACTAACTAATTAGTATAGAAAGTGAAGCTGAGGGGTTGCGGCTCAAAAGCTCAGGGTTTTTTGGTTTAAGAATATTCACTCCATCTCACCTCCAGCCATCTGCTTCTCATACCGCACGTCGCGCGTCGCGTACAGGCGTCGATTCGTCAGGAATGAGGCGTGGTCGACCTGTCACGATGCGCGTCGACACTTGCAGAGAATAATGTAGAAGGTGTGTGATGAACTGTGAGTTGAGTTGTTGCAAGACGGGAGAGGAAAAGATCTCCGCCTTCGCCAAGGCGTTCTTCCGCCTCGCATGTGCTCAGTTATAACAACAGGCTATCTTCGACAGCTTTCTAATACAGCACGATCGAGTGTCCGTGGGCGTCGCCTTAGAATCGAGTCAGAATACCACCATACCTGAAATCACGTCAAGAAATCCATGCATCGCAGCTCCCACCGCATGGGAAGATGATACTAACAACAGTTATCACATGCCACGCACGGGAACAACAAGATCATGGAGCGGTTGGCAAAGACTTCGTAAGAGCATAGCCAGGCTCGTGGAACAGTCGATCAACTCCTCTCCTGAGTCGGAGCCAGAGTCGTCGTCCCTGCTATATCTATGGCACGAGCTCTGGCGGACACTATCTACGTTCTTGACAGAGATTTCCTAGTCTCGAACCCGAGCGAGACCTCTGTTGCGCACGAAGTAGTCATCGTTTTTGCTTTGTGCTCCGGAACGGCTGGAGCACCATCATTCCTGTCTTCCCACCCCTTCAGCTGCGATGCGGAAAAGTCTCGTGGCGCCGCCAGGTTCCAACTCGACCAAGACGAGGCTTGCGAATTCGTGCCATCGAATGCATGGATTGATACGTGGCTCTCAGCATCTTACTTCTAGCGTCCGGCACATAGCGACCAGGCGTCCGTATTGCTGCGCCCAGCACTTGGAAGAATCTGCCTTGGAGACTCCCAAAATTGTCTAGAATCTCGGCGCATCCTCAGCCGTTGGGAATGCCATTCCGCTCAAGCGGAGACTGATGCTGTCGATGGCCTCGTTCTCGACGGTATATAAGCATTTTCGAGACGCCGTCTATTCTGCCTAGGCTTCCGCGGATTGTCAGTGAAATTCATAGAGCCTTCCGCAATGTCTTTGCATCCACGCAAAGGTGAGAAGCTGATGCTATCAAGCGCCTTCACCTGGAACGCAAATTCTACTCGATATCTGCAAAATGGCCTCATCAGAAACCATCCCACCCACCTACGCCACGGAAACGCGATACGTACTGATCATAGAACTCATGATGCCTATTAATGCTACACCCGAATTTTTGTAACCAGCGTACAATATGCAATCGAGGAATTCCCTGGACGCAGTCAGGAGCGGATAGTCGGCGTCTAATAGATTCAACATACCAATGCTCCAACGATATCCCATACGCCTACAACTTTAACCTTGACTTCTTTCCAGCGCGAGCTTGTTTTTTGTTGTCTTGATAATCCCACAAGGGAGCTCTTGAGTCACTGACTGCCGCTTTCGGGAGCGGTAAGTAGAATATCCCACATCTCGTCAAACTTTGCCATGTTGGTTGACTGAAGGTACTATGTGAGGCCGAATGTGAGAGTCTTTCGAGATTTTCGATGCTTGAATGGGAGTCCGTCAGCGCAAACGGTTGCTTCGACCTGCACGAGACACAGCTAGAAGTAGTGTCGCCAAGATTCGAAGGCATGTCAACAGTAAGTAATCCCTCGACTTAAAATTCTAGCAACAACGTCGTGTTCCAGATGAAGAATTTGGAAAATCTCCAGGAATAAGCCCTCTTGATTTCGTCAGCATCTAGCATTACTCGCTGCGCTATGCACTTATAATAAAACGATCGCGCGCTTCGAAATATGCAATTCCAAACTCCATATGCATCCTCAATCACAACCGGTGCGGTGCGCCAACCTCAAGACTTGCCCCCCTTCTTCCCACCCCGAGCACCTCTCGCCGCCTTAGCAGCTTGCGCACGCTCAAGTCTAGCCATCTGCTCCTTCTTCTCCTTATCAATCAATTCTTTCTCCTGCTTCTCAGCCTCTTTCCTCGCAGCAGCCTCCTCTCTCTGCTGTCTCACGAGCTTCAGTCGTTCGAGATCGGCACGTGCCTCGTCGGTTTTGCCTTCGGCGTGCATTTTCTGGTAGCGTTCCTTGGCTTGCTGTGCTTGCAGAGCCTCGCGCTCGCGCCGTGAGAGTTGGCTCACGTCTCCGTCTTTCTTCGCTTTCGCTACGGCCTTTTCGGCATCTCCTGCGCCTATTGCGGCCTGCTTGCGTGCGGCGGAGCTGTGGTTGGGGTTGACAGGCATATCGTCGTCCTCTTCCTCGCTGTCGCTGGGCAAGTCGCCTGGTTGTGGGACTCCTTGCTTCTTCTTGATCGCAGCTTCCTTCTTGGCTTTTGCTGCTTGCCGTCTCTCCTCACGAGTCATTTCCTGTCCTGCCTTCTTGGGCTCATCGTCCTCGCTCGACTCCTCCTCTGAAGACTCTTCTTCGCTGCTGTCGTCGCTATCCTTCTCGACTGGTTCTGCCCACATGGAGCGCTCTGCTCCATCTGCATCGAGGGGTGCAAGGTTCTTGCTAAAGTGTCGGCCGCCTGCACAACAATGTCAGACTCGGTCGCAATAGTGTAGTATTTTGGACTCTGCTTACCACCTCGCTTGGCCTTCTGGTACTTGCCTGCGCGGCCTCTGTTGGAGCTCGACATGTTGGCGGTCTTGTTTGTGGGGGTGTTCGAGGGTAGAGGCCGAGGTCGAGGTCGAGGTCGAGGGTTGAAGGCGGTAGCGGTTGTTAATTATGCAGGACAAAGGAGGCGAGGCCGAGAGTATGTTGTTAGATATGCAGGAGAATTGTCCTCAGGCTCCTTCACTTCACCACCTGCAAACGTGAGTCAAAGTCGAGCTTGTGAAGGCGCTGGCAATAACAATGACTATGATAACCTTCACCTCGCATGTGATTTGTCGCGGCGTCGCTGCCCAAAATACCCGCCCCCACCAAAATTAAGTCAGTGCATCCCTGCGCGCCAAGACACGCCATAGACGGACAACTTCACGCTTCGACGCGCAGAAGTCTTTCCTTCCTTCTCTCCCCATGAAAACGACACCTTCCTATTCACTCTGCCAATCGCACTGCCCTACGGTTGATACGAGGGGAAATGGAAGGTCAGAGCAACGCTTCATCTGCTTACCCCTGCCTTTTCGTGACATGTGGAGAGGGAGTAAATATTTTCGATGATACATTCATGCTTCAAAACGTCCGACGCGCGACTCTTAGGGACCTGTGTATTGGTAGCGCCAACGGGGGAAAGATTGAAGGCTATCGCATCACTGCCGCGTGCTGGATAGAACCCACCGGCACGAGTGTATACACAATCTTCAGAGCTGCTCTTGCACCGTGAGCACCATCTCCTTCGTGCCGCCGCTTTCACCAGTCGCTCAGTTGCTTCCTGGTCGTCAACTTACCCGCGCGCATGACATGCACTAACAGCTTGGGAACCCTCTCGGCCATGCCAAAGAAGTCGATGTCGTCCTCCTCCTCCTCGTCGCAATACATCTTGAGGTTATTCAGCACAACCTTCACGACCTCTTCTCGCAGACAGTCTGGCCAGTCTCCGCTGTATGCGTCCTCCATCACGTCAAGCACCATCTGACAGCCAGCGTAGTCGTCGCAATCTTGCCCAGGGTAGTCCACGACTATCTTGAGCAGCTCGGTCATGTCGTATTTGTCTGCGAGCCTGATGACCTCCATGTGAGTTGGAATGTCCCACAAGTGGCCCGGTTTCTCCCTTGGCGCGACGTAGGAGTGGCCCGAATGCTCTGGGACATAATCGAAGCTGTACATGTACTTGAGCAGCATTTTCATGCCATGTTCGCTGTCGTCGGGCAGCTCCAGCTCCTTCTTCGTCGCTTCCTGGAATGGGCTCGATCAGAGGTTTGCGAAACACGGCACTAGGTTCAGCTCATCCTACCGCAAATTGGCCCTGCAACATGCCCTCGAACACTAATGAATGCTGGCAGAGAATCGTCTTGTGCACGCGCCAACGAGCGCTACCGCATATGATGGCCAGATCGGTGCCATTTTCCGTGTCGAAGGTGCTCGCAAGGCGACTAATGAATCTTGCAGGAACCGCGAGTCCTTCCGTGTTGGTAGCCATGGCGGTGGAGTCAAATGCCGTTTCGATATGCGTGCTGGTCGCAATGTAAGTGAGATGCGGATGCTGTGAAGTGGAAGCTAACGGTCGTGCAGCTGGTCCGGAAGCTGCCCGTGCGCGACATTCTTGATCGCTCTGGCTGTTGCGAAGTACAGCTATCCCACATCACAGTACAGTCTTGAAATGGAACGACCAGCTGGCACTGCAATCATGGCAAAGCCACTCCGCCGCTTCGAGTAAGTAATTCTTCTGTATCAAAATGCAACTTCACTCTGACTTTGACGGAAGCGCGCGCGAGCCTCTCTTCACCATCCGAGTGGGCGCTGATGTCGAAGGCGTCGAAGAAGCAGTATTCCGAGTTCATCGCGGCTGTCTGACCTCCTTCTCCAACTGGTTCCGAGTTCGACTGAAAGAGGAATGGAGCAAAAACAGAGAAAAGGATGTGTGCAAGCTCCCCGATCAGCATCCTGACGGGTTCAGTTTGTTCGTGGAGTGGCTCTACACAGGCCACACCACGATTGTCGAGCAGACCGACCACCGATTCGCTTTACAGGAGTGGATGTCGCTAGCACATGCCTACGTGCTCGGAGAAGCGCTTATTCAAGACGAGTTCCAGGAAGACATCTTACAGCACATGAAAGCCAAGGCCTCCAAAGAGCGAGAAGGCAAGCCGTATCTCTCGGAGACGATCCTGGAACTCATCACCATCATCTACGAGGGTACAACGTCATCCTCGCCAGGAAGGCGCTTCCTCGTTGATCTCTTCCGCGGGAAGTGGGATGGCCAGCGCGACAAGAGGTGGGCTGTTGATCTGCTGAAGTCTTTTGAAGACAAAGCGCCGACCGAGTTCAGCACGGAGCTCGCAATTGCGACCATGGAGTCAGTTCCCGATACTTCTGGCAGCTGGTTCTTTTTCAAGACGAAGAAGCAAAAGACTCCCACTGCAGATAACAACTCGGCTTGAATGGTGAATGCGAGGCGGCTGAAATGATATCTAGGATACACGAAGGACGTCTCCACGAGCATTGGAGCTTGAGACATTGCACGGATATCAGATGGCAGTGTGGATAATTCCCGCAGTCCTCTCTGACTGAATAGTATCAAATCGATAATCCCTCAAGAGTTGGGAACCAGAGAACGACAGCCGGTGGTATGGTGGCGCTCTTAAAATGTCGTAGTGGTTTCGCTACAGACTGCTACACGATATCTGCAACAATTCAGAGCTCACAAGGAGGTTAGAAAACCAGCAATCTATCGCGCGTGGGCAGAGGTTGCATCCTGGCGAGCTAAAACCAAAGACCTTGAAGGAGTCGATGATAGTGGGAGTTTCCCGTTGCCCTCTTTCTCGTTCTTTCAGACAACGTGGGCAAATGTCGTGGCGGACGAGTTGCTTCTTAATGCATCGCTCGAAACTCACGACTTTCGCAAAGAGTGCCATAGCAAGCCGATGCCGACGACTTTCCAGACACAAATGTGCACAAGCAGACCGATATAAACGGTGTTGACTCCCTTGCCTTTACGAAAATCCAACCTTTAAGCTGTCCACATCTCCGCAGAGAATTCGTTAGGCAATGCTTCAGCTTTGCTGTGATTTTGTGTCACACCACCTCAGCTACGCCACCAAACGCCACACCAGTATTGACTAGTCTGAGCTACTGCATCTCTCTATACCAGAGTTCGAGACCGCATACACACTCAGTAGCGAAGCCTATCGACATCATCGACGACAGTTGAGTTTCTGCATCCCATAACCTATGTCTGGACGTACTACAGGTTTTCCCATCACGCCACTGATTACCAGAGCAATACAAAGCATGCATGAGAAGACTCATGTCCGCACCACTCCAAACATCCCATCCACATGGCGACTAACGAGATCAATCCCGAGAACGTCTCAGTCGCTTCAATGACGGTCGCAAGCGGCCCACATATTCACACACCTCTAGAGCTATTCCAGATCCTCGTCGGCATCCACACGCCACGTTCGCTGACCCAAGATGTTTGCGACACCGAAGCAAACCGTGCAAGAAATTCCCATGCGCAGCCACTCTACGTCCGTTCCCACCGCGGCAATGTCGGGTTATATCACAGAGCCAAAGATGAAGAGCGACGAAGTAGAATCGCATATATCCTCACGAGCTACATTTCGAATTTCCTCTTCATGCTCCAGATCCTGCTCGCCGCGACTTTTACAGCACTTTCTGCGTACAAGGACTCGAATGCTGTGACGCTGACGGTCCTTGGAGCGCTTAATACGGTCGTGGCTGGGTAAGCTGTTATTGCCAAACATCTCTCCAACGATCCTGCGTCCACTGATGCTGTACGATCAAGTTCTCTCGCATGGCAGAAAGGCCAAGGTGTGCCGCAGCGCTATCGAAAAGCCATGGACCAGTATCAAGCCCTGTTACTCGAAATTGAAATGACCGAGCGATCGTTCGTCGATATGGACAGCAGTAACAATTCTGCCGGCGCACTGGATCCGATAGTCGAGATGGCTCGATTGCAGAAGCTGTTTGATACTGCAAAGGCCGATCAGCAGGCCAATTACCCTGATCTTTATGTCAGTACTAGTGCTGCTGCTAGTCATGAGACGAAGGATCTTGCTCAACAGTTGGAGGATGTCAAAGCTGCTGCTACAAAGACTCAGGCGGATATAGTAAAGAGGTTGGAGGGGTTGATGGAGAGATTGGAAGCTAAGGGTGACCCAGGAATAAACGACCGTGAGGCAAAGGTTGAGAAAGCTGTTCAGGAGGTTTTGAAGATTTGAGCTATGAATTTCGTTCGATACATGCCGGTTTGGACAGACAATGGATGCCAGCAGCTCACGACCTCTACGAAACAAGTCATGCATCTCCCGCGTCTTCGCTGTAATACCTGGTGAGGCCTGATTGGCAAAAACTCTCCGAAACTCTATCTTGTGCCGCATACCAGTTGATCACCATACCACTTCTCACCCAACACCTCCAAATCTTCTTCCATCATCGTCAACTACAAAATCCATCCTTCCAACACCTTACAGACCCAAGAACGAAAATGTCAACCTTACCAGCATGGTTAGAAAACACCCTCTACCCAACCAAAGTACCTCCTCGTCCCGCCCCCCTCCCAACCCACCTCCCATCTAACAAAACACAACAATCCAGCCCCTCCCTACCCCCACCCCCCGTTCCAAACCCATGCTCCTCCTCTGCCTCGGCCTCTCCCGCTCCGGCACCGACTCCCTCCGCAACGCCCTCATCCTCCTAGGTTACGCCCCCGTCTACCACGGCTTCGAAGTCCCCACTTCGGAAAACCCTGCAATCAGTCGGGCGTGGACGGAACTCGGGAGGAAGAAATTTTCGAGGAAAAAAGAAGAAGAAATCTCAAAAGAGGAGTTTGAGGGGTTGCTTGGAGGGTATGTGGCGGTGACGGATTTGCCGTGTGGGTGTTTTGGGGAGGAGGTGAGTTTTTTTTTTTTTTTTGAAAGAGAAAACAGAAATGCTGGAATATAAAGAAAGGGGGGGGTGGGAAGTGTGGCTGATTTCGTGTATTAGTTGCTCACGGCGTATCCCGACGCAAAAGTCATTCTCAATTATCGGGATGTTGAGGGGTGGTATGAATCGATCGGGAATACATTCGGGAAATACATGAACACGTGGGAATTCCAATACCTGTCGTATTTCGACGGTTCGTTGTATTGGTTGCAACAGGTGTTTGTGATGTACGAGCGAGGATTTTTTCGGGGCTCGATTTTGGGGAATGGGAAGAGGGTTCATGCGGAGCATTATGCGAGGTTGAGGGAGGTTTTGAAGAGGGAGGATCGGGGGTTTTTGGAGTGGAGGGTTCGGGATGGGTGGGTGCCGCTTTGTGGGTTTCTTGGGAAGGATGTGCCGGATGTGGAGTTTCCGAGTGGGAATACGCCGGCGCAGAGTGCTGAGAGGGGGGCGAGAGTGAGGAAGCGGGCGACCGAGAGGGCGTATAGGAATTTGGCTGTTATTTCTGGTGGGGTGGTTACCTGCGTTGCCGTGCTCATTGCTTTGCTGTGTCTTCCAACTTCATAGCGTGTGGACTTCGCTGCCATCTGATATCCGTGCAATGTCTCATGCTCGGATGCAAGTCCTTGAAACTGGTCCGCCCCGCTACGCAGAGTATATGACCCTCCCTACCAGTATACGCTGGCTAAACGTTTTTGACGACAACTCTTGTAAAAGTGTTGATTCGGTTTACTGCCCGTTGGAATGGACTGTGCGAAACATTCACTTGCTTGTATACCATTGACGCGTGTTCGTCGTTTCCTCTCGAGCATGGAAGGGGTAAATTGGAGCGTTGGAAGCGCATAGGACAGAGATAGGGGTGTCGGCGTCGCGGTCATATGGAAGATGTATTGGTGAGTGAATGGAGTCGTTGGTGCGTCGTCCGGGTAATGCGCTGCAGATGGATTATTGGCACTTTGCGCGCCACGAGTACTTGGTCGTATTTATCACACTGCAGCGCTCGCCTACATCAAGATCAGGGAGACAGACTGGGCCTTGAGTAGCAAGGTAAAAGGAGGGATGAAGTGATAGCGAAGACGATAATGGCTTTCGACTAGGATGCTGCCCGAAATCCGAAGAGGTCTGTGCTCAAACCTCTACTAACCCCTTGCATCTTTTCCTACTACACTATTACAACGATATCCCGCAAGTCTATCGATTGCCGACTAGGTACTTCTACCTACTAATATCTTAATCGCGGAAAACCTATAGTTAGTACTAGTACTATAAACTCTACTATACTAGTAGAATCTATCTAATTCGGAAATTTTACCTATATCTTATATAGGCGCGGTATTTGCCTAACTAGGAAGGGTATATAATAGTAGTTTAGAAGTACGAGATACTACGAGTAAAGATAGTTAGTAGTATAGTAGTATAAGAAGGGTTATATTAGTAGGTAGATAGGGTAGTAGTAGATTAGTATAGTATTCGATAGAGATCTAGGAGGAGAAGGAGGAAGGCAGGCTAGTTAGCCTAACGCTAAGCGCTAAGCCCTGCCTAAGGTACTAAGACCCTAGCTTTACTCGAGCTAGTTATATACTAATTACGTATAGCCTCTAATATACGCTTCCCTTCTAAAGGCCGCGCCCTCGTAGCCTATCTATATTCTAATCTTAACCTCTATAGCCGCTAACTTAGCATATTAACTAAGCTACTTAGCCGCGCTAAATTAAACGCTTAACTACCTAATTATATAACTATACTAAACCTTACCTTCTAATATAATATCTAACTCTAACTACGCTATCCTTATATATAATAAAGTAAAGCGATATATATCCATAAGAATTAAGGGCTATCGACTAATTATAATATAGGCGCGTCTTCCCTGCTATAATAGGTAGACGTACGAGGTATTATAGCACTGCCTCTACTTTAAGTAATATTATTTCGAGTTCTTTGCGTCTACTTTAAAAGACCTAGAAATGTCCGCTCCCGAGGGTTTATTCTTATTATACGAGGGCTATTATTTACTATCGTAGTTTCGCTAGCTCTAACTAGTTAGGTCTAGTAGCCTTTAATTATTAATCTTATTTCTAAAAACGCAGTTTGTCTAGTTTCTATAGGTAAAGGCTATTATAAGTATAATAGTTAAGGTTCGCTTCGCTTAAAGGGTCGGAAAGATCGAGAAGTAACCTATTATTCGCAAGATCGACCCTAGCTAGCTTAGCTCTACATTTTTGCCTTTAGTTAGTCTATTAATCGTTTAACCTCTTTAGTCCCTAAGTCCTTCGAACGGCTTAACCCTTTTTAACCTAGTATCTTAGCCTTAGGCTATAGTATAGGTAAGGTTGTTCTTACAGATATAGTAACGATAACAAGTAAGGTTAATAATAGTAGCAAGTAGGTAATGTTAATAATAGCGGCGCTAGCTGTCTTAGCGCTAACTTCACCTTACTCCTAATTTCCTTCTTTAACTAGTAACGCTTTAACCGGCAGCGTACTTAGTAACACTGTTACTAATATAGCCGCGCTATCCTTAACTATCGCTAGCTCGTAGCGCGACGCCATCTATATTATTATTATTATCTGCGCGCGCGCCGCCCTCGCTAATCGCCTAGGCCTCGAGGCCTCGATAGAATAAAGGAATAAAAGGGGGACTTAAATACTAAGAGAAGGGCCTTATTGCGTTAGCGAAGCGGTAAAATCCTTAAAAGAGTAGGCGATTAGTTAACGCGTTATAGCGCGTTTGTTAATACTCGGTACGCGTCTACTATAGTAGTATAGTCTTATTATCCTAGTTTGCCGGCCTCTAATTAGTTAGCTAATAGCACCCTAGGGGTAGCATTAATCCTAGGCCTCTCTAGCGATATTATAGGCCCTTAGCCTTCTTCTTGTTCTTTATACTAGTCTAATACTTATCTACTAACTTAGTTATATCCTTAAACGAGTCTTTAGCTTCCTACGAGTCCTATTTAGGTAAGTAGCCTTGCTATCTTAATAGGTACTCCTTCTTGCTCTTCCTAGTCCGGTGCTTTAGTATACGCTCTATAGACTATAGCTCTTCGCCGTCTGCTAGTACCTCTTTATATTTAGTAGGGGCTTTTTTATCGGGGTCTCCGTAGTAGTAATATAGTTTAAGGAGGGAGATATAGAAGGTATTATAGATAGTATAGTATAGTAGGAGCTATAACTAATAGGCCTAGCTATTGCCCTTCGGCTCTCGGATTCGGAAGGGGCTAATAAACCGTAGTGCTAGTTTAGGGCGTGTTTTGCTATTAGGTAATAGGTGTTTGCGGATGCGGAGGTTCTTCGTACTAAGTATAACTATATCGCCTTACTTAAAGGCTATTAGTATATAGCGCTTATCGTAGTAGGTCTTTTAGTACTCTTAAGCCTTTGTTAGCTTCTTAGCTATCTTAGCGTAGATTTCTCGCATCTTTTAAACCCTCTCGATAGCCGCTAGTATTTTAGGGGCTTAACGCGCTTCCCTTTCCTTACGCTCGGCCTCGAGCGATAGAGGGTCTTATAGTAGCGTAGGGTTGCTTCCTATTATAGCGAAATAAGGTAACACCTTAGTAGATAAGTAGACACTATTATTATACACGAATTCGGCTAGTTATAGGAGATTAACCTATTTGTTAGGGTCCTCGTTAATATAGCTTCGTAAGTATTGCTATAGGGTAGCATTCTGCCTCTCGGTCTAGCTATCTATTTATAGATAGAATGCTATAGACAGGCGATGCTTAAGTCTTAGCTATAGGCATATCTTACTCTAATAATACGATATAAATATCGAACCCCGGTCGGAAACTTTCCCCTTAGGGGTTCCCTAATAGCTATAGAAGATGTTGCCCTATAGCGCCTTAGCTATATTAATAGTAGTCTAATCCTTCTATACCGGGATATATCGAGCGCTCTTAGTAAATCGATCTACGACAACTAGGATAGCGTTAAAGATGTCTTTGCTATCCCTACGCTTAGTAGGCGGAAGGCTTATAATAAAGTCTATTATTAGCTCTATAAATAGCTTCTTTAGAATAGGAAGTAAAGACAACTCGCCGAATAGCAAGTGCTTTAGTGCTTTAACTCGTTAGTATACGGCATACGTGTTTACGTAGTCCTTTATATCCCGCTTACTATATAGCTAGTAGTATATACGCGATAGTAGCTCGTACGACCTCTCTATACTATAGTAACCGGCAAGCTTACTATTATAGTATCGCTTAAGAAGCTCTTGTCGGATCGAATGCTCGGTAGGGATATACAATCTGCCCTTATAGCGCAAATAGCTATCGGTATTAATCGACTAATTCTTGCTAGATCTAGTCTTACGGCTACTTCTAAGCTAATCTATACGAGTAATAGTAAAAGCGTCCCTTTGCTAAGTACGTAATAGCTTATCTATAAACGCTCGCCTATCGCCTTCTATAAGTTCGCTTAATAGTACCCTCGCTATCTTGCGTAGTACGTACTATATACATCTAGTAGCACTAGCAGCCGGATTAACTATAGTAGTACCTTTATCGCTATTACTATATATAGCGATATCGACTAGGGAGTTATTATAGTATTAGCTAGTAACTAGCCCTATATATATAGGCTAAAGTTTAAGCCTATATAAGAGGCCTCCTTCTGTACTATAGACAGATTACTAACCTCGTATAGTATATTGTTTATGTTACACTTCTATAATGCCTATATTGCAGGGCTCTAGTTATTAGCCTAAGTAACGGTCTTGTTATCCTATTATACTAAACATAGCTACCTATATTATTATAGGTTATATTACCCTCGGTTGCCTATACTATTACTACTAGTAGTAGTAGTAGTAGTAGTATTAGTTTCCGTCCTCTATTAGAGCCGAAGGTAGGGCTATCTCTTTATATCTAATAGGTTCGGGTATATCGAAGGTAGTCCTAGGGCACGAATAGCTATAACTAGAGCGAGGGTACGATAAGAGCCTATAATATAGACGATATAGAACTTTAGAAGTATCTCGAGGGGCTATTACGATAAGCGAAGAAGCCTCTTAATAAGGGCATCTCTTTAACCCCGAAAAGCTGCAAACCCTTAGGACTATTATAGCTTAGGGCCTAGTCTATAACTATAGCTAGATTCTAAGGACTCGGCTCTAGATCGAAGACCTATTTAGTATCGCTTGCTCGAGATAAGCCCCGCCTAAGGAAGAGATAGATTAATTACCTATCGGCCTTGCTTAGTTTACTAAGACTATTAATCGATAGCAAATTCTAGATTATAGGTCGGATAGCTAGGGAGTCCCCTATTAATCGGGTAGGGCGTTCCTAGATTCGCAGCCTCGCTTAGATAGTACTTAGCCTTCTACTAGGAAAAGAAGGCTACCGCCCCCCTACCTAGCTAAAGGAGATAATAAGAGCTAGTTTCTAGGATCTAGGTATAAACAGAGATTGTAGTCCCTTCCTCCGAGCGGCTTTCGTCTAAGTTTACTAAATTAAGCTCCTAGAGGTGTTAGGCGACCCCTAGGAGGCTAAATCCTAATACTGCCCCGAGGGTAATATTAGGAGAAAACAGCCTAGTATACTAATTTTCTCGCGTAGCAATATCGTAACAAACTAGATATACTAAAAACACTTTATATAGCATTTTATTTTAACTATTTTATAAACAATCGAATAAGCTCTAGCGAAAACGAGCATTAAGAATTAGCGGAATCTTCTAAATCCGAAAACGCCCCTAATTCTATTAACGAAGAAATTAGGCGGCGACTAGTTAATATAAGCGAGCCTCCTATACCCTCTACGCTAGAGGCACTCTATAATGTTATTATAAAGATAATAGAGAAGCAAACTAAGCTTCTCCGATAGAATAAGCGTCGCCCGCTAGAACCTAGAAGTAGTATAAACCCCTTATTTAAAGGGTAGAACGCTATAGTATATATAGAGCGTTTTAAGGAAGGCTTAATTAAGTATAAGCTCGATAGAGAATCCGACTAGTATAAGATCCGGTCTCTTAAGAGGACTACTATTACTAAGCTTTACCGAACCCTTAGAATCCTAGTTAGCTACCTAGAAAGGGACGACAAGTCTAATACTAACTAGGAGACCTTTAAGCTAGCCTTTCTAAGGGAGTATCGGGAGCGCGATAGCCGTCGTATTAAAGGTAGTCGCGCGTAGCTCGAGGCTCTCTACTTCGTAAGGCGCACTAAGGATAACGACCTAAAGGGGTATATCTACGAATTTGTCGAGTTAGCGGACGGTATCGACTAGAGTAACCTCGAAAACTCTTAGAGAACGAGGCTACTCCTCTAGGGGTTGCCGTAGCCTATAGCTTAGCGTATCTTCCGTCGCTATAAGCTTAGCGAGGCCGATCCTAAGAGCTTTAGGAGATGCAAAGAGGTCCTAGTATATATTAAGGCCGATATTAATAGTACCGCCGATACGAGGAAGTTTATCTATAGCGAAGATAGGAATAACCTAGCGTAGGTTAGGAAAGAAGCTATAGGAAGTAGGGGACCTAAGTTCCTTCCTAAATCGTAGAGTAGTCCTAAGACCGTAACTCCTACTATTACTAAACACTCTTAAGACGTTACGGACTTAGCTAAATCCCTAGCCTAACTTAACCTTAATACGAAAGCATTATAGCGGATTAGGGAAGTTATTAATGCTACTATACTAGGCGATATACTACTAGTCTACTAGGTTTTAGATCCTAACTACCCTAAAGCCCCTTTAGTTAATATCTACGCTATACGGAAGATCTATTCTAACTTAGATAGAAAGTGCTAGATATATAGCGGTTTTAAATATATCTAATCGTCCTACCCTATCTAGAAAGAGCTTCTTAATAGGAAGCTTATTATGCAAGTAAATAGTCGGTTCTACTATATAGACACTAGCGATAAGATTAACTTCGAATAGGATCGGAGAGCCCCGAAACTGCCTTAGCTAAGGACCCTTCTAGAGAAGAAGTATAGCGGCAAGATCGAGTTTAAGTATACTAGGAATAGTACCCTCGCCGCTATTACTAAACGAGAAACTTAGAAGGTTAGGGCTAAATAGGTTAAGGAGCGAAGCAGTAATAGTACTACCGAGCCTGTTAAAGTTAACTTTGTTTCTTAGGACCCGGACGCAGTTACTAATGTTTACGCGGTTACTAAGAATAGTATAGATGTCTACGCTACTATAAGGTCCTAAACCTAGTTCTAAAACAAGGGCAAGAGCCCGTAGAACCCTACTCGCCCTAGTACGGCAGCCCCTACTAGAGTACTAAAGAATAAGGCGGCCGATAAGGCTAAATAATAGCGAGAGTTAACCGCTAAAACTAAGACTCTCTAGACAGCTAGAGACCGCGCTACCCGAGCTAGCACTATACCTATAGAGAGCCTAGTCGTCCTAGAGACTCTAGAGGTCGATATAGAAGATATTGCTACCGATATTAGTAGTACCCTAGGTCTAGCTAACCTACCTACCTATAAGCGGAAGTTATCCGATCCGAAGAGCTTTCGCTTTAATAAGGATATAAACAAGTATAGTACTAGCGTAGCTAACTCCTTAGATATAAAGGCAAACGCTCTCTTCTAGGCTTTATAGTTCCTAGACCTTAAGTCTAACGTATCTATAGGAGAGCTGTTAGTATACGGTTTGCCTACTAACCTATTCTAGAGCCGGATTCCTAACGATACTACTTTTATAAAAGACCTCGCTACCTTTCGAAGGAAATAGGGGCGAGAAGACTATATCGATATCTCTTCCCTATAGTTCCTTCCTAAATTTTTAGGTACCTAAGAGTTAGTAGAAGGCGAATCGGTAACCTACGAGAACTAGGAGACTATCGATAATACTAACAAAGAGGGGGTTAAGGAGATAGGCCGAGGGGATAGTAATAATACCGACCCTATTTTAGTTTCAGTTTCTATTAAGGCTATCCGATTTACTAGCTAATAAATCGGTCGAGTAGGACCTCCTCGACTTAAGGAACTTTACTCTATCCCTAATAATATAGACCTTTCTATAGTTACCCGTTCCTTTGCCGTCGTTCCTACTATCTATATTTAAGTTACTATTAGAAGCTATAGTTAGCAGATACTAGCAATGCTTAATAATAGTTTAGAGTTACTTATTATAAGTAAGCGTTAGGCTAAACAACTTAGGCTACTAATAAATAAAGACATTTCCCTTAGTATATAGGGAGTAAATAGGGAGGTTGCTCTAGTAGGTACCTACTATAATGTTATAGTAGACGCTTTCGGCATATGCTTTTCCTTTACCTTCTAGATTGCTACCGACCTAAATACGCTAATTATTCTAGGTCGACCGTAGTCTCGTATAACCCGGGGTATCTAGCGCAACTGCGACGATAGCTCCTAGAAGGGAACTATCGCTAACTAGAAGGGCAACCGAGTCGTATTTACTAGTTATATCGGAAACACTAGCTACAAGTCCTACGAGGATATCCTTGCTACTTCTAAACGGTCTTTAGGAAACGCTACGGCGCAGTTATAAGACCGGCAATCTACGCTATAAGTTAGTATAGCTTAAATAGGTTATATCTAGAAGTGCGCCGCTCCGTACGTTAAGGCAAGTTTCTAGGTTCTATACTAAGGAGACGAATGCTCGAAGCGATAGTAAGTATAATATAACGACTACCTACTATACGAGTTAGGGTAATAGTGCTATCTTATATATCGTCGCTAGAGGTATTATTACTAGACGCAGGTCTACCTAAACTAACTAATTAGAGCGCGAGTCTAATACTACCCTAGGGGTATTATTACGAATCTAACGTTTTCGCCGGCGTTATAAATTAGGACTACTAGTTGTGTATCTATCGACTTAAGGAAACTTCTAAAGAGGTTTACGCGCTGTTTTATTACGCTAATCTCTAGGCCTAGCGATAAAGAGAGAGAGCTCGGGTTCTGTAATCGATTAGTATATATACCCTATATAAGAGGGTTGCTAATAAGATTAAGCCCGTAAAGGGCAGCGTATATATTACCGATAGGTCGAATCCTAGTAGGAATCCTAACTAGCGATAGAAGTGTCTTAATTAGGAAGCAATATTGCTACCTAGGGATAGCCTATACGATTAGAGATATATTACTAAAAAGTTCTCTACTATTCCTAGGGGTTTAAGGCTAATACCGGAAAGGCTTGCGAAGATTAAACCTAGTATAGAGCTTTCGGAACTTGAGCTAGACCTACTATACGAGCTTCTATACAATCGCGAAGCCGTATTAGTATATAACTTCACTTACCTAGGTAGAATTAATCTAGAGGTTGCCCCTCCGTAGAAGATCCGAACGATCGAATATAAGCCTTAGGCCTACCTAGGTTTTAAGCTACACCTAAGCCTACGAGGTATAGTTAAGGATATAATACGGCAGCGCGTAAAGGCCGGTACGTTAGAGCCTTCCTATGCCTCGTATCGTAATCTATACTTCCTAGTTTAGAAGAAGACAGCTCCTAGGGAACTAAAGAAGTACCGTCTAATTAACGCTATACAAAAGTTTAATATAGTTACGATTAGGGATACTAACCTTCCTCCGGAGACTAATAGGTTCTCGGAAGCCTTTACTAACTGTATTATAGCCTTACTAGTTAATGTTTTCTTAGGCTACGACTAGATTCCTCTCTGCCCTAATAGCTAGGACCTTGCTAGTTTCGAAACGCCTCTTAGGCTATATAGACAAACTACTCTTCCCTAAGGGGCGACTAACTTAGTAGCTTAGTTCGTTCGTATTATAAACTAAGTCCTAGCGGCCTATATCTCCTATATAGCGATGCCTTTCCTCGACGATATCGGCATTAAGGGCCCTAAAACTAGGTACGATAATAAAGAAGTAGAGCCTAGAATCCGTAGGTTCTTTCTCGAATATATCTAGAACCTCGATAGTATCCTCTACGACCTAGAGCGAGCTAACCTAACGGTATATAGGGAGAAGCTTTAGCTCCTATACAAACGAATAAACATTGTCGGGTTTGTAACCGATAAAAACAGCCGCTATCCTAATAATATACGGGTCCTAAAGATAGTGTCCTAGCCGGATCCTACCTATTACAAGGATGTCCGAACCTAGCTTAGAGTAGTCTCCTACTTCCGTATCTAGGTCGAGAACTTTATATTAGTATATAAGCCCTTATACGCCTTGCTTAAGAAAGATACTAAGTTCGAATAGACTTCCGTTTACTAAGCGGCTAAGGATATAGTAACTAAGGCACTCGTTAGCGTACCTACGCTTACATCTATTAACTACTTAGAGGGTGCGGGTTTAATAGTTATTACTATCGACTCGAGCGGGGAAGGCTATAGCGAGATACTAATATAGTATAACCGTAAAGAGCTATCCTTACGTTACTCTATCCGATACGACTTAGGGCTATAGAAACCGATCGGGGCCTAGTACGATACTAGCAAGCGAGAATGCCTTAGAGTCTATAAGGCTCTAAAGAAGTTCCGACTATAGCTCTTTAGTATATTCTTTCGCCTAGAAATCGATACTTAGATACTAGTCTATTAGCTTAACCGTATAGCCTCCGACCTGCTAAACTCTACGATAGCTCGGTAGGTTGCCTAGATCTATTTGTTTAATTTCGACGTCTTCTACGTTCCTAGGAAGAAGTATACTAGACTAGATAGCCTTTCTAGAAGGCCTACTATAGAAGAGGACATTGCCGAAATAATAGAAGAAGAGGATATCGACGCGGTTATTAACCGTACCTTCTTTACTACTTTCTATATTAATGCTATACTAGCAATTACTAGGTCTACTACCGAAGACTAGCCTAGTAACTAACCTAATAAACCTAACGGGCAGCCTAAGAGTTAGCCTAACGAGAACCCTACTACTAACGGTAATAACTAGGCTAAAGCTAAGATAGATAAATTAGACAGGGATAATATCCTTAATAGGGTCTACTCCGACGACTCCTATTATATCGCCTACTTCCTAACCTATACGAAGAAAGCGCCTAGTCTATTAAAGAGTTAATACCGTCGGGTTATTCGCTATTCTCGACGGTTCCTAGTTAAAGATCGCATCCTTTAGCGATAAGCGATAGTTAATGTACCTCTTTAGCGCCCTATAAAATTATCTTAGACAACGCTAAGACTAATATAGCTAAAGAAGTTTAGGCGCTACTAGTTTTATATAGGGCGAAGAACGTTCGTATCTCCCCGTACTATCCCTAATCTAATGCTATCGTTAAGCGTAGCTATCGCTTATTAATAGATGCCTTGTCTAAGTTAACTAATAGTAGTAATAGGTTAGTCGCAATCTCTACCTACGTCCCTACCCTTCTCTAGGCGGACCGAACGACTATTACCGATACTACTAGGCTTATACTAGCGGAGCTTATAATTAGAAGAGACGCTGTTCTTCTAATTGAGTTGTCCTACCGTAAGTATAGCGTTTACGACTAGGGGTCTGTTCGTACTAGAGTAGATCTCCTTGCCCTACGCGCTAAGGCTCTTAAGGAGATAACTATAACTTCTTAAAAGGGACTTACTCGATAACGTCGTCTTCGTAAAGAGGCTAAGCAGTATTTCGATAACTATAATACTATTAATTAGGAGCCTCTAAAGGTTAGCGATATAGTTCTCCTATACCGGTCCGAGCTAGAATATAGTTACTCCTATAAGCTAGCCTTTAAATAGAAAGGGCCTTATAGAGTATAGGAGGTCCTTTACGATAGTTCTACGTACCGTCTTTAGGAACTTAATAGTGCTACTTTAAAGCACTCGTACCCCCGGGCTAACCTAAAGAAGATCGTCGAATTAAGAGAGCCTACTCGCCCTCCCCCGACCGAGGAGGAAGTTAGTGCCTCTATAGACCCTCTACCGACCTTAGATACCTATCGAGAAGAGGATCCGGCCGCGATTATAGATCCTATTCTACCTAACAACTATACGTATCCCTAGATACGTCTTAGTAAGCTATTAGGAATAACTTATAAATAAAGGGAGGGTTATATACGTATTAATTACGCGTAGAGCATTTCCGATATTAATTCCGATAGTAAACTAGACTTCTAGCTATCTAACTCTAACTCCGAGGAGGAACTCGACTAGTCTAGCGACGAAGACCGCCTAGAATTATAGGTATTAGACGACCCCGAGACTAAATAATTGCTTACTTATCCTTACTTCCTTACTCTACTACGTTACTTCCTTGCTCTTACTAATCGTTCTCCGCGCTATTAAAGCAGTACCGCCCTACACCTTTAGTCCTTACCTACTGTCTATTCCTACTAATGTTTATACTTTTATTTGTTGTTTGTTACTTTTAGCTTATCTTATTATTGCCTTTTGCCTTGCCTTTACCTTCGATAGATATTGCTATAACTTTATTCCTTTGCTCTTATTTCCTTAGATAGAACTATACGAGGCGTGTTTTCCTAATAATACTCCGGAGGTAGTATTAGGAAGATAGCCGAACCTAACCCTCTACCCTTCTAGAACTACTTCTCTCTAGATTCCTAGACTCTAGCGACTACCCTTAAGTAACAACGATAATAAGATACTCTACTAGAGGATGTTCCTACCCTAATTAGTACTAGTTACGTAGGATACTAAGAAAGGGAGGTTCCCTATCCCTCTCCCTTCCCGCCGCTTAGATAGATATAGTAACCTAGGCCTATAGCCTCTAAGAATAGGGACCTTAGGCTGTTAAGCTTAGTGTTTAGAAGAAGGAAGAAGGTAAACGTATAGACTACCTTTACGTACTTGCTAATATAAAAGGTAATGCTACATCTATAACGGTAGTGCTATAGGCTAATATACTAACGAATTAGCTACGCTAGGCCTAGGCGACTTACTCCTCGTTACCGAGTATCTCTAGAGAAAAGCTAATACTACCCCGGGGGTATTATTAGTCCCGCTAGCTTTACTACTATAGATTTCTACTAAGGACTCGAACTAACTAGCCACATTTCGAGCGCGCGAGAATCTACGATAGCTAAAGGTTAATAAAGGCGCGTAGTCGCCGCTTGCAATTAGCTAGACCGATTGTTAAACTTTAGCCTGCCCTAATAATAAAGAAGTCTCGTATATAGCTTTACTTTTATATGCAGCCGTTATCCGTTTGCTTTACTAGCGCGGAATATACGGACTACGTTACCTTCGTACCCTATTTAAAGCGAGCTTTCTAAGCTCTTTCTTCTACTCGATCGCTAACTAACTCGCTACCGCCTAACTACCCCCCCCCCCCTTCTATCTAAGCCCTTTAATTATTATTATTAAGCAACGAACATACTTTGTAAACTCGTTTCTAAACCGCTTCGGTCGACTAGATATCTTCTAGCGCCTCGAATCCGCTAGGCGCTAGTAGTAGTAACGACCTACCTGCCCCTATTAACCTAAGCCTAGCCGCCCTAGTCCTAATCGAAGCCCTATCTAATAGCGCCTTAGCTACTATAACTAGTCTCGAGCACTGCTTTTAGATCGTTACCGCCCTTAAAGATTCTTAAGAGAAGATCGAGAACGCTCGTACCCTACTACGCATTATTAACAGAAACATTAAGAAGGCTACTATCTTAGTTGCGTACGGTATAAACAACTTGCGTTAGTCTATCGGTAAGCGTATCTTTAAGCGCGACGTTCTTAACGATATAGATATTTAACAAGCCTTTCCTATCGTCTATAGCCTCGAAATAGCCGGTACCTAGATCCGCTTACGCTTTAAGACCCTCGATTAGGCCTTCGAATATTAGGGAGGACTAAGCAGTCTTTCTAAGAGCCTTATTAACTTCGCCTATAGTAGATAAGAGCGTACTAAGTAGGTCTCTTCGTTCGTTAATAAGTACAAAGTCCGTCGCTAAGGCGCTAAGTACCTTTCCTATACTATAATCTATCGTACATCTACCGCTAGTAAGAAGGTAGGCAAGCAGTTACTTAACCTGTCCTTTACGCTTAACGACTTTACGATAGCCTACTAGAAGCGGCATAACGATGCAATTGTCTAGGTTAATCTTAATATATAGACTACTAAGGATCTACTAAAAGAGAAGGGCTATCGTATTTAGTGTAGGTTTTGTTATTAAAGGTTGAGAGGCTCCTATCGTTAATGTTCTTAAACGTAAGGTTCTTTGCCTAGAAATAGAGGCCGATACGGCTACTAGTCTTACGCTCGCTATAGAAATATAGGCTAAAGATCGTCGCTCGATCCGCAACTATAAGGTCTCTTAAGAAGTTAAAGACGAGCGCGCTAAGGCCGAAGCAGCGCGTAAGAAGGCACTATACGCTCGCTAGGCCCTCCGTAAGGCTACTAAGAAGTCTAGCACTCCTTCTAGCACTAACTATAGTAACTCGGATATTAATATACTAGATACGCTACTAGAAGATATTTCCTCCGAAGGCTCCTTTAGCGAGCGTAGGGATAGAGGCCTCTCGCCGATTCTATTAACTAAGAACATCTATAGATCTTACAAGGGCGACTCTATTACGCATCTTATTACTAAGATCGATATAGTTCCTAAGGCCGATATAGGCAAAGCTCCTACTGCCCTATCTATCTATTAATAGCTCGACGACCTTAGTAAGCTAGGTGAAGAGCGGTTTGCTATATATGCTAACTATATTAAGAAGGCCGCTAAGGTCTTTAGTCTCTACGCTAGTACTAAGACGAGTATTCTTATTAGCTGCCTATTAAAGATTAGACGCGAGATTGCTAATTAGGATGCCTTTACTACCCTTAAGACTAGTTATACTAACTAGTTTCCTAGACGTCCTGCTGCCGCGCTAACCTCCTTAGGACTCTACGTATTTAACCCTACTAGCGCTATTACTCGCGATCTTACGCTAACTAATCGTCGGTATAAGTTAGTCGCTAGCATTCTCGGCTAAGGTACCTCCTTCGACCGCTTTCGCTAGACTAGTAATACTATCTTCCCTCGAGTCTTTAGTTAGATACAATCGCCTCGTAGAGCGTACCTTTCTCCTATCGTCGACCTAATATAGGAGGAATTTCGCATATA